AGGATGTTCAAAAATGTTGAACAAGAGCTTTTAAATAGAAGAGCTTCAAAGGAGCTCATTAATTACAAGTTTTCGACTATATCATCCAAGATGATATGGACATCGTCCTAACCGATCAGTACAAATCTCAGAAGATCGACCAGAGCATCGCCCTGAATGCAAACTGGACGATTGAAAATTTATCTTAATCATCCAGGATAATAACACGATCGTCTTGACCGATTAGTTCAAATTAGAGAAAAATTGTCCAGAGCATCGCCCTGAATTCAAGCTGTCTGATCCAGATCGTCCAGGAGTAACTAAGGTTTTTTTACTAGATCGTCCTGGCCGATACTGCGATCGTCCAGGACAATGTGATCGTATCAATCATCCTTAATTACTGCCTTGATTTTCTGATCAATTAAAACATAATTGTGAATATCGTCCAGGCCGATCCAAGATCGTCCTAGCCGATTACCAAAAATACAGAATACCTTAATTATTTATGACGGCAATTTCTTTCTGTTTTGAGTCTATCGTCCAGGCCGATTGGCTAATGACAGCTGCCTTAATTAAGAACCCCTGATTAGATTTTCTATTTTAAGCCCGATCGTCCAGGCCGATGTAAATATCGTCCTGGCCGATTTGAGTAAAAACAAAAATTTTAAGTCTCTCAAGTGTGTGTAGGCTTATTTTGCACCAGTCACACCAAAGATTACAATTGACTCAAGAAGGGAAAAATAAATTTACAGACTGACTCAACCCTAATCTACCCCATCTTGAGCTGGCTCCGTTTTTCCGTCCGATCTTTGATTCCTGAAAAATCAGTAGTAAAAGACGGTCCAAGACAAGTAAGAGTGTTTGTCAATCATCAAAACATAGTTCATAGACCTGAATTTGCAACACAAATAGTTCAGCTCCTTCAGTTTATTTTTACTCCAATACAATAAGTTTTTTTAGAGATATTTTAATTTTCCTTTGAAGAATATCATTAAGGATTCAATTTTTATGTTGTGGACTTTCTAAATTAATAAGACTAGAAACAACTAATTGCTAAAGCTTTAAAATCAATAATTCTAGATTTGCTAGTTATTGATTGTAGAGGCTACATGCTCTAAAACCTATAATTCCAATACTCCCTCAACTTAAGTTTAGGTACTTTTGATTGGTTTTGGCTATATTTGCTCCCAAAAGTTCTTTACTGGTTTGAACTTGTCATGGAGCTAGTCTTACTTTGTATTACTAGACTTTCATAGTTTTCTAATAGTTAGGAATGAAGCTATGGACTTTCGAAAAAAAAAAACTACCATGTAAAGAAATCGATCGCTTGAAGAAGGCCTAAATGTTATCGAGTGGTTTGCAGTCAAATGGCACCACTAAATCATGGTTACGACCAGAGCCAATACATTTCTTAATAGCATGAAATCCTTGAGATTTGAATCAATAGGATATAATCGATAGAGTACAAAACCCTTTGTTAGCTAAGGTGGATTCAGATTTGTCCCCTTAGGCAAATACCCATCCTAGGTCTACAAGGTGCCCTTGTACAAAGCAACCCATGGCTGCCGACAAGGATTCTTTTGTCAGGTTGGGTTGACTGCCTCCTCTAATTAAGTAGACTAGGGACCATGATGGCCCGAGATGACAAAGCCATGAGATCTTGATTTGGTCCATCATTCATTCCCCCACCATCCACTATAAGTGCTAGATGGTGAAATTTCCATTTTAAATATTAAATTTCCATATTCTCAAACCCATGTTACTACTATAAGCCAAATATTATCTATCTCTACATATCTAATTGACGACTAGCCCTAATCAAAGTTTCTCTCTCATGATTAGGAGGGGGTAATTAACTATATGGGCTTGCGCCTATTGGAAACAAAAACTCATATCATAAAGTCCTCGCAAAATAAGGGTGATATCTCTAGGCAGTGTCTTACCTATAAACCCATTTGCCATCCCAAAATTTACCCTGGAACTTAATTTAGTTAAAACTCTCCCGAAGAAAAATAATAGGGGAGGCTGGGTCAAATTTTTGGAGCCCACATAGATCAAAGAAAACACTCTCAAAAACAGTCTTATTTGAAAGAGTCAAGTTGTTGGACAATCAATAGGAATATAACATATTTCGTGGCTTCAAACATGTTGCAACATTGTCAGACCTATTAAAGGCCAACAGAGCAAAGAAATATCTTGAAAACCAAGCTTCTCTGGGTAAAAAAAAAATGGCAGCATTATCTGCTGGGATGGATTGGTAGTGTGATGATTTAAACGAAGATGCACCGAAAGAGATCCAAGACATTCCTCTCCTAGGACTGAAGGATGTAGAAAATCATCAACTTTTGCTTGATCTATGCAAAATTATGGTACCCTTGCATCATTATTCCGAAGCACTGGAGATTATAAATCTTCTAACAAGGTTACCAAATGATAGAGTATCTATTTAGAAGAAGAAAGAGCTTCAATCATTGTATGCACAAATAGCATATATTACTCTAGATCCAAAGCATGCATTTGATTATGCTCGAAATATGGTGAAAAAACATCTTTATAATATTTTAGTGTGGAACTCATATTACAAAGTTATTTTAAGATTTCGAAATAGATTTGGAAAACATCTTAATTTTTTGTATCAAATGAGAGTTAGGCACAGTGACTGTCTGCCCCCTATGATTATTAATGGAAATTAATGCACCATGCAAAATATGCACCAAGCTGCTGCTAAGGAGTATCTTCTAGTTTACAAACATCAACCTGAGAATGCACTAATAAATCTTTGTGTTGGTATTGCTTATGCCACTAGATCTACAACCCTACTTTCACAAGTGGACTGAAGGCGACAACCTACAATAATGCTGAAAATACATGTTAAAATACACCCTGCATGTGCTACGACAAATGCAGTAAATTTCTAAACGCCAATATCCAAGAATGTTGTGCAGGATCAAATGCTCGTTAATATAACATTCAAGTTTCAAATAAAATATAACTCACATGTGCTCTGATCATCACATCTGAGTCCCAAATTCAATGGTTTGAGAATACTGCACGGGTCAAATACTCTAGTCTCATCCTCCTCCTCGAAAGGACTGGAGTCAACATGATTTGAATTACAAAATGTCCCTCAAATACCTGCATGGGCCCCGATGAGCGTGTTTGAAAACACATGTAATTCCTAGGGATGCTGTGTGGATCAACAAGCGAAGTCAACTATGAACTCGATCTTCTGTCGGCAAGTTGACAGAGTCGGCAAGGTTCAATCCACAAATGCGAATAACCATAAGTCACCCCAATGATGGTCGTATTGACAAAAAATCTCAACCAGAGAGGTCAAATCTCAAATCCCATAAAAGCCTAAATCCTTGAAATAAAATCTTTCACTTAAAATTTGAAACTAAAACCATCCACCTCCCACAACTGTTTATCGGGGTGATAAATTTGAAATTAACCTCATCTCACGAAGATCGAATACATATTGTGTGTATCACTAAGGTTCATCCTCAAATAGTCTCTTTCCAGCAGAGACGTGGCACATGCCCTCTGATCGTATGGTTTGGCCACAAAATGGCACCATTATATTATGATTATGGCCAAATCTCGTATGTTCCCTAAAGGCTTCAAACCCTTGATTAATGAATTATAGGGTATATTCGATAGGCATAAAGTCCTCTGTCAGCTAAGTGGATTCAAATCTACCCCCTTAGACAAACACCAACTAAGGTCTACAAGGTATTATTGGATGAAGTAACCTATGGTTGTCGATAAGGTACCTTCTGTTAGGTTGGGTCGACTACCTCCTCTGAGTAAGTAGGCCAGGGATCATGATAGCCTGAGATGACGGAACCATGGGATCTTGATCGGGCTCTTCTTCATTCCCCCATCACCAGCTTTAAGTTTATTGTGATAAACCTCAAATTCTTAAACTTCAAAATTCAAATCCAAAATTCAAACCTTAAAACTATTTATATTATACAATAGGTTTATAACCTACGTGATCATTTTAATAACTAGCTTTAATTAAAAGTTCTCTCTTGTTATTAGGGGTAAATTAACTATAGGGGCTTGCGCCTATAGGAAATCAGAACTCAGTTCAAAAAAGTCCTCACAAAATGAGGGTGAAATCTCTAGGTAGTGTCTTATCTAAAAACCAATCTACCTTCTGAAAATTCATAGAGAACTTAAATTTGTTAAAACTCTCTTTCATCATAAACAATAAAAAAAAAGTTATGGTGTGGAGAGGCCAGGAGTACATCGTGGAATTTTTTGAGCCCACAGACTTCCTCAATCAATCCCCTGTAATTAAATGATCTGGCCCGAGAAATATGACAACAAGTTGACCGTTTTGCAAAAGTTTAAGATGTTAGGAATGCTCACTTTGGGTTCCTTTTCCATAATTCACCAAGCCTTCTAGGTACACTATTGTTCTTCTTTAATGATTCGTCATCCAAGTCATCAGAAAAAGGTGAGGTGAGCTCAACGACATACCAGAGATGGAATTGTTATTAGAATCCTCAAAATTTCCACCATTGTTTCGAGATAAGAGAGTTGATGAAGCAGCTTCAGTTCTTTCTCCATTGATCTGACTGCGTCTTAAGCTTCTTCACCTTAGTTTCCATCTTGCCTTAGCTTCCTCTAGCAAATTTTATGATTATGTTGTCACCCTGGTACCCTTATAAGTCATAAATAAATAAATTGTTTCAATCTAGTCTCAGAGAATGTTTAAAAATTTTAAATTTTTAAGGAAATAAACTAATTAAGGAAGCACATGTGCAGCGGTTTAAACACATACTACTTTATTTGCAGTGGTTTAGAAACCGCTGTATTTGTGTTCGTTGGAAAAGCTTTAGCAGTGGTTTTATGAGTGCTGCTATATGAAAGCTTTAGTAGCGCTTTTTAGCAAGTGTTAAAACCGCTGCTAAAGGATAGAATGGATTAAAAAAATAAATTTTGTGATCAAATTATTTAACTTCCAACTGTCAGATTTTATAGAATTAAAGAAAACCATGCATCAACTATTAAAATAATTAGTAACATTAAGTCCTTATAGTATAACGAAAATCAAATAGGTGATAAACCATTCTGCAAACATGTCTCCTAATAATGCAAGAAAGGCATTGTATTTTGACGATGCTTCACCGAGGATTCCTATTTCTCTTAGCTTTAGTGCATACTCCATAGGAGGAAAGGTGCTTCATTTTCCACGATGTTACTGCCAGAAATATATATGGAAACAGATCATTCGGAACAAATTGGATAAACTTTAATTACTTCTATTTAATTTCAATTTAAATCTAGTATGCAACTGATGTTTAAAATTCAAGCCTGCAAGCAAGCAACCTAAGAGTGCCATATCTAAATAACCTAAAAAGCATGGCATGTAGACAAATTCAAACAGAATCAATTTCTTACCCCCCAACTTAGCTGAAGGAATAGGTCCTGAAATTGCATTATTCTGCAGCAACCTGCAAGTAATATTTAAAAAATTAATAATTTCATAGCACTTGTCTGTCTGAAATTTTTAACAGCAATTAATGCAGTCACCTCACCACTTACACAGATTGCAGATTTGTTATATTTTCAATACAAGGTGATAAGGTCCCATACAAGCTTTGGATGGGAAGGTCCATAGCACACATAAAGAGAAACATATTCAACGAAGCAACAAATTTCCCTTCTGCTATGAAAACTGATGAATTAACAAAACATATAGATTTTATAAACTTACAGAGCAGAAACAAAGGTATAGCAACAGTAATAAAGTAACTAAGGAAAATGAAAAGATTCTTTGGATTGAGATAATCATTCTTGTTTATTTTTGGATCAACAATAAAAAAGGAAAAAAAACACATCCAATAAGAGATAATTATTCAATATCAACTTTAACCATTGCAATGATATTTTAGCTTCCAACTTCAATAAAGACACAAATTACTGTTATACATCCCACAAAGATGCAAAAACTAAGCCTTATGAGTAATGTATTAAGCCTTATGAGTAAAATGAATATCTAATAGTAATAACATTCAATGAATATGTCTTAATGTGGTATCATTGTCATGTGCCGAGCAATTAGAAGAGTGTATTAAGGTTCTATGAAATAAATAATTCTCGATTCTGTATGAGCTTTAAATTACTAAGTTCAACAATGGTAATATAAAAAAGTATTAAACTTTTATTTGTAAAGAACAATCAAAAGCTTAATTGTGTCAGACTAGCAATTCAACTAAATATTGAACTTTTATTAGGCTATTCAAGAAAGCATTAAGTTAACTCAGGAACTTCAAGGGAAAAGCAAGTTATGATTGGAGATAATTTTGCTGCAAATCTATTTGTCTCCATTCATAAATCAATGGGTTGGAATGTTCAAATTCAATAAGCAAATTCTCTATGTAGGGTATATAGATACCAAATCAACAGCTTCCAGTTTAATAGCTTCGAGCGACTTTTCATCCATAGCAGCTTCCATTAATTCAGCACACATTCACTTGAGAAAGAATTGTCTGCAAGAAAGAAAAAATTTAACTCAGTGGATAAAATCAGGAAAGGTTCTTTAAGAAACTCCTCAAAAGACGCTTTCACAACCTTTGGTCATCATTATAATTTATATTTTGATACTTGTAATGGTTTGTCAAATTGAAGATAGGTGACCCACAAAATAATATATTGATCTCATATACATTTATACTACCATAATTCGTTTTTCCAATTAGATCAATAACATATTTTCTGAGAAGAAATCCGGCTAATTAACGAGTCAAACACATCACAATGATGTTCTTCCTCCTCTTTCCTCTCTTCCAAATCGCAATTTGGGGCGCTGCACATATATATACCGATACTCTCCGGCAGGATTGAGGAACTTCTCCTTAACTAGGTTAACTCAACGCGGAAAAAGACCTGGAGACAACTTAGACAAAGAAAGGCAAAAAGCAAAGAATTGATAAATCATTATACTTTGAAGGAAACTGGATGTAATTAAAACCCAAAATTTTCAAGCTCCACTACTGAAGACCGGCGCTTCAGTTACCTCAATTGTGTGGTCCTTCTTTGCCAGCAAGCTAAGCAATCATATAAATAGAAACAATCAAAGGCTTTCAAGAAGGCAAAGGGCTTGGGTATCCATTACTCCATGAGAAACGGTGGAGGTAGAAGTAGGATTCGGCGTCGGTATGCGTGGCTTCGGCATAGGGTTGGCTGATTCGGCGTCAAATGGAGATCTACGAAGTCGCGGTGAAGAAGGCGAATGAGTCGGCTAGGTTACGAAAGGAGGATATCGACAAGCTTATGAGAGCGGCGGGTTAGGGAAATTTTAAATTTTTGAGGATCAATTTAGCAGCGGTTAATAATGCTACCTTTATATAACTTTAGCAACAGTTACAAATCGTTGTTATAAAAATGCTGTGAAAACATTAATTTTTAAGTAATGTATATAACATATATAATAAACATGCACTTGTAGTTTATGTGAGCTCAAATTATATGCTAGCCGTGAATCCTGTAGCTCAAAGATATGATGCCTTTTGTGCATAACCTTTTCATGAAATCTTTGTTGACGTCGATAATTATACACTGGCTATTGGAGCACTTTTTGGAGAAATACTCATTATTGGCAAGGAAGATTGTGTTTTTCTTTGGGAGGATGATTGGAATGTCCACATCTTCACTTACACTCTAATGTTCTATCCAACATAATTCTCCCATGGTTTGATGTTGGCCTCCCTTTCCGAGGTTGCTAACTTTTTGAGGGACTCTCACTTGAACCACTGTTAACTAATCATAAACTCCTTTTATTCATTGTGGATATTAAGGATAGAGGTTTTGATCAAAGAAATGGATAAATATGCACTTCTTCTTAATGATAGAGGTTTTGAAGGTGGACTAATCATTCTTGACCATGCATCAATTCCTGATGTTTTGGTGAGATTAAGTACCCTCAACATTCATCAAGGAATTCCTTTCCTTAATTAAGTGGAAGGTGTATTGCCAACCTTCAATTATGGGTATATTTTGGTGTGCTTGAAGGATGAGAAAGGAAAAACAGAGGTTATGTTTAGTAAACTGATTCAAACAACTAATGTGGGGAGCATGTGGGGTCAAAATAGGTGCAAACAAGCATCCATGTCAACCAAAAATTATTTAGTTGATTAACGATGAGGGCAATCAATGTGGCATTCCCCTGATCAAATGTGTCGAGGCTAAGAGATGTCTCATGCCTAATTGGGGAAGTTCCCCTTATCCTCCCTTCAAACAATAAATTGATGATCTGCTCCTTCTCCCACTATATTGTATGATGTTGTGATTCCATGATTTGAAGTGAAGTGTCATTCATCACTCTTTTTTAGGCTTCGTTTGAGACGGCGTTCTTACCGCTTCTTAAAGTAGCTTTCTAATGCAAAAATTAAAATTTTTATACTAGAAAACTGTTGAAGAAGCAATTAGAAAGCCGCTCCAAGCGAAACCTAAGTGTCCCCTTTTGGTGTTGTAGAGAACTAAAATGGCCATCACAAAAAGATTAGTATTCTCTGGTACTTAAAAAGTGTTAGTAGTAGCTAAATAAAAGCCATGAAATTTTTTATTGGAACTTAATGATATTTTTACAAGTGTCAACATTAATGGGGTAGTTAATCTAAAGTGACTGCTACAAATACATAGATAGAGAGTACCATTAGACAATTGCTCTGGAATTTTCGCCACTTGAGTTATTGCTAAGCTAACTATTAGACCATCTATTCTATCTGTTGCACTCCACTCCTCTGTAGCATCTCTTGTACCAAGTAAATAGTATTTGGGTGGTGTTTAGGAACACTTTTAAGTATAAGCAAAAACTAGTATTATTATGTCACTTATTAATATTACCAAATAATTAGTAACAACAGACCTACTAAAATTATGTTTCATATAATCAGTCATTTTTCTAATAATCTAAACTCTTTAGGGCAATATTGTTTGATACTAAAATTAAGACATCTTAGAAGTCTGACATAAGACTTTGTGCTGTAGTTTTAGAAATATTTGTTTCACTTATGCCTCATAAAAATTTGTCACTTGCCACTCTTTAACAGATATATATTTCATTAGAGGAATAGGAATAGAGTACAAAAGACTCTTAAAAATAATATATTTTTACTAAGAAAATAAAGTAAATTGCAAAAGTTAAGAAATTAGCAATGTGGCATCAGTGTGTTTGAGTATATTGCGCTTGTTTTTTTCTAAATAAAATGATTATTTGTAATGAAAATTTGTAGTTTCTTTCTTGAAGAAGAATATTAGAATTTGTCAATATATGAAACTATTCAATTTAATGTCGGAGAGAAAATCAAAATAGTTGCATTGAATAAGCATATTAATATTCTAATATAATCAGCATTTATACTAAATCATCAAAGATTTATTATTCATTATGTCTTAGAAAATCTAAGAAATTCAGTTTATATAATAGATTTGTATACGAGAAGGGAAAAACAGGAAACTAGCAAAGCTATAGAAGCTGAATTTATAATTCAGTCTCGTAATCCAGAAGGCTATCACACCAACTTATGTAATCATAGTTGGTCCACAAAGGGGAGTCAAAAGGCTGCAGGGAAGTTGGCGAATCCTCTATATTGAAATCAGCATCAAGATGATGAGGAACATATTTGGGAATTGCAGAAGGTTGTTCCGGAGGAGGAAGTGATAAGGAAACTTGAAGAAGTTGTCCATGAGGAGGTAGAGATAGCGAAACTAGAAGAAGTTGCCCATTGAGAGGAAGAGATTGGGAGAATGAGAAGGTTGTTGATATGGGTGATGATCCTGCAGCTGTTGCAAAGCCATGGAAACATTAATGTACTGCCTCTGAATTTGCTCCTCTTCCTCCTGATGCTGGTGTTGGAGGAACTCTAACCTCTCCCTCACCTCTTTTAATTTGATTTCCATTGCAGCCTTCTCTTCATGGACCGACGACAAAGAAAAAGACGGACCCTTTGCTTCATGATCTCCACCGCAGTTGCTATCTCTCTTCTCCCTCTTAAAGTGGAGGTAACATTCTCTGATCCGGTCAAATTCGACAGTGTCCTCACTCCTCAGGCCATAATTGTAGGGTGTTTTGTTCGGGCAAAAATGAAAAATGAAGCAAGGAGAACGTCCACGCCGCAAAGGAGGGAAAGCTCACTGGTCTTCTTCTTTAAACCTTTCAATCTCGTCATGTATGTTGTCCGGAAGGTTTTCTCGATACTTAATGGCAAGCTTTGCACATCCCATGAGGATCGCACGTAGTAGCGGCGAGGCAGAGCACAAGAGGAAAAGAGGTAACAGAGATAGAACTTTGTACGTTAGAATGCAATAACAATCCTTGTAAAAATTAATACAATTTCGACCGTTGGAGAGCTGCTTAGTTGATGATGGAATTTTGAGGTTGGTTGTCGTCCATCTATGCTCCTCAGTACGAGGTTTTATCTCTAGCATGCCGGTTGTCACAACGATAACTTTTAAAAAATATCATAAAAATGCATTCAAATCCTAATTATTCTTAAATTACATTTATTTTTTTAAAAAATCATAAAATATATTCAAACCCTCACTTAATAGAAAATTCAGAATTAGGACACCGGAAAACAAATGGAATTTCAAAAATATCCTTAAAGCCAAAATTTGTTTCATGGGTGATGCCCCCGAAAACTCCTGCAAGGGCATTGCCCCTTGACCCCGCGACCTGACCGAACAGGTCAAATCTCGCCAGGAAGCGCTGCACCCTTGGACTCCGACATATCTATGAAACATACGATGGTCAAGGACATTAATAAATAAGGGTTGAGCCAAATTCGAGGCAACTCCAATACTTTTCAAATTAATTATTTTAATATGAAATTATTATATAGTATTACATCAAATATTTTTTGCATCAGTAATGTCTTAATCTTATTTTTTAAGTTTGTTTCATGGAAGCAAATTTGTGGAGGTAAAGAGAGAGTTCAATTTCTTAACTTTGTGCAAAGAATCGCCGCACTTGAAGAGAAAAGCAATTCACAAGAGAAATTATAGTTTTAGCATGAGAGCCTAAAAAAAAAATCAATGTCAAAATCTGACAATCTTAGGCTCCTTATGTTAGCATACAACACTAAAATAGTAGAGGAAACGAAGCAACAATCTGTACCGTTGACTTAGTTTTATCTGAACCGTTCATTTATTTATTGTACTATATATATACTCCATTGTATTAGCTGTCTAGGCATTGGAAAATATTCATTCTCTATTTTCGTTTCTATTTCCTCTTTCCCGTGTCTCTCTGGTTTGGCATGGCTATCAACATGGTATTAGAGCATAGCTAAGTTCTTTGTTTTTTCTTTCTATTTTCTTGGTCATAGTTCGTTCATCCAGTCTCCTCTCTTTTTGATTCATCATGGATGACTCTTCAACCTCACCTTCTACCATAGATGCTCTATTACCGTATACTTCCATACCCATTCCTGCTCAACTCAAGTTCTTTATGAATAACATCAAGACTCTTTTCTCTAAACCCTTAACATCTGATAACTATTAGGAAATAAACCAAAATGTAATTAATTAGAATATAGTTAATGAACTGGCATTGTATTTTCTGAAGATTGTATTTATCTCGTCTCTGCTAGTTCGCCTATATATAGGCTTCTATCCTTCCTGTAATACTCGGTGAATAATAAACCATTTTCTACTTTCCTTCTTCCTGCTTGCTTTCAAGAACCGAGAGTCTCTGTTCAAGAACTAAGGTTGGTTAGATTAGGTCTAAGTCAGTTTGTACCATTTTTTTCTTTCTTGAGTCTTTTGTAATTGTTGTGGCTCCTGATGCTAAGTAACTTCGCACACACACACATTGGAAGAATTTTTGATTGTTCCCTAGAGTTTACTGTTTTTGGTAACATCGTCTGGGACGATATTTATATCGGCCTGGACGATCCGTTCAAAAATAGAAACCTTGATGAGGGAATCATCCTTGTTAAGGCAGCTGTCATTAAACACATCATCCTGGATGATTTTGTATCGGTTAGGACGATAGGCTCAAATCAGAAAGAATCTGTCGTCAGATCTATTTAGAAATTACTTATTTTTGGACATCGTCCCGATGGATCGGGCTGGCCTATCCGGATCGGCCTGGACGATCCATCACAATTTTTCTTAAATAAATATGACAATTAAGGAGAGCAATTAATGGTGATTTGCATGATCACATCGGCCTGGCCGATCGCAGTATCGTCCGGGCCGATTTGACATTGGCCAGCTTCTTTTCAGGGTGATGTTCAGAACGATTTTCCTCATATTTGAACTAATCATCCAAGGAC